ACTAGTCTAACAAGTTAACTTTTAGAGTCAAGATAGCGTTTCATATACAGGCACGTGAAATTTCGCAGTTTTGAAAACAAATAACATATCGGCTGTTTTTTCACAGACCGAAGCGTAAAACAGTGAAAATCCTTAGAAGGCAAGCGTCCGCTAGCCGAAACTGCGCAAACTCTTGATCGCACTTGCTGCCCTGGTGCGAGCCGCTGTTTGTTTATTTTTCAGTATTCTTGAGGGCCTTCGGTGTTTGGCGTTTATTGCCTGCTTTCCCGGTTTTTTAAGATCCTTGATATTCTTCGGCAGTCTTCCGTGTGACACTCAGCAGTTCGCTTTGTCCATCTACTGTTTCTCGTTCTTGCCAGTCGATTAGTTCTTTTTCCTCAGCTTTCATTTCCTTGTTATTTTTTGAGCTAAATTTTTAAATTCAGTGATTCGCAGAAGAAAGAAAAAAGGGCAAATGCTAAAAAAGAAAAGGAAGCGCAGTTGAATCGTGGTGAAAATGTGTTCTCGCTGTTGACCGGAGCAGATTTCAGCACAAATCTCGAGGCTGAAGCCAGTTGCTTGGATGTAGTATGTTTTTATTTATTCGGGGGCCGATATTTTTTTAATCAGTTTTCTTTTCATTACTGCTCATCTTCGTTCATTCTCTACATCTTGCAGCTTTTCATCGGCTTTTTTAATAGAAGCTACTGCTGGTAACGATTTGTTTATTCATCAAATAAGATCTCTTCCTTTTCCCCTAGTCTCTTCGTCACTTGTTTCACAATTCCTTAATCTCTTTTTTTCGCTGCGCTGATAAGGAATTTGTCATATTTGTTTAACTGCTTATGTAATTTTCCAGCACCTCGGCGGTCCAGTTCGTCAAGGCAACCATCAATTAGAGGAGGGAAGGAGATCGGGAGTTGGTGGTGTAAGTTTTCGAGCTAAGATATTGCGGGATGAAATGGGAACGATGAAACGACCCTCCCATAAAAACATTAGCAAAGTAACTTCTTGTTCATCTGAAGTAGGAGAAATCGTAACAGTCGAACTTATTTAATTGTGTAGCATATTAGTAGATGGAAGTTTTCTGAAAGTGCACACAGTTTTGCCCCTATCGGTCATAATATCATTTCTTCTGGAGCTTTCTGCAAAATGTCATCAAAATAATGTTTCATCTGCACTGGCATCGTCTCACTTCCACATCTTCTCGCATCGTTTTGTCCACTAAGCAGTGCTTCGTTCTTCGAATAATGGCCTTTACAGCAACTCTAATATTGTTGCTTAATTTACCCGTTCGAATCTTTTTTCAGGAGGATGTGGCACTTGTTGTTGAGAAACGAACGAAGCTGTCGAGGACCTCTGTTTCTACGGTTGATTTTTTTATTCCTTCTATCCAAAGTTTAGTTTTTAAAATAATACTAAGCCCAACCGAATAGTCACTGTGGGGAACCCATGTTGGTGTTGTTAGTGGGATGTTTCCACACATCTTTCCCCTCGAACTCCCGCTGCAGACTTCCAGTAAGTCCACATCGGTTGTTCACTGAATATGCATTATTTTTTTGCCGGTGGATCGAGTAGATAATTTGTTTTTCAGCGCTACCAGTTTGTCTAGAAAGAGGAATCCATCAGGAGCCTTGCAAATGAGTAGCTACTTTTGGCAGGCGCTGCTATGCGGCTAGTTCCGAGTGCCTCCGTCCCTGCTGGTAGCGTATAGGGAAGTCTTGCCTTTTGCCACACTTCGGTGCTGCTGTTCTTCGTTTTGATCGCCTGCTGTCAGTAGGCGTCTTCACATCATCAGTGATACGGTCGATCTTCCTCTCACAAGCCGTAACTAAAAGTCTTCATTCTGTTGGACAGCTATGGTGTTTTCTGTTTACTTTTTTCATTCTCCAAATGAAAGGACTGGAAAATACACATCTCGTTTGCGAGATCACTCAATCTCCTTACCCAGGGTCCTGTGCGCTTTTCCACGGGAGTTGTACCTGTCAAGTAAGGCATGCTATGACTTGGCTCTGTAGAAGTCCCAAAAAACGTCGGAGCTAGGTTCTTGAAATGTCTGAAATCACACTTGAATTTCAGCTTTTTAAACTCTCGCGTATGGAGCTTCCAGCTGTTATTTTTTCATCTGCCTTCCTTACTCGCTCACATTTGCACTACCTCCACCTCAGTCCTTTCGCTACTAGTTCATGTTTCCCAGTTCAGTTATTTGGTTACTCGAGCAGTGGTCTTAGTTTTCACTGCTGCCACATCTTTTTCAGCTCCTAAAAATTCCGATGAATACTGAAATTATTATGGCCATTTTATATGTTGCATGCTTGCTTTCCGGCTCAACTTGTATACTGTTATCTGATATCACAAGGTACCATTTTTACTTAAGAAGAATGTCTTCGGGGTATTCCTGAGGAATATTCAGCCGTTGTTTCATCGTAGCGTTTTTTTCGCCATTGATGCAGCTGATAACTTCTCAGTTTTCTTTATTTTAGAATTTTCTTATTCACATAATCTCGTATAGGCGTTCAGGAAGGTCTTTCAGCCGCATTGCGGCCTTCCATGTTTAAATATTCTTTTTTTATGCGTTTTGCGCTTCTACAACTGCAAAAAACGCATATTGTCGAGATTCTGTGTGTGTGTGTGTTTTTCAAGTGCATTTTAGCAGGCGTTTCAACTCAGGAACTAAACAAGCTAGGAAGCTGAAATTTTGGTAGAATTCCCCCCGCTCACTTGGGACTTCGCAAACTTGAATTCAGCTTTCGATTGCTCCTGAGTATCGTACGACCTGCGCAAAAACTTTGGCAGGGAGAATTATTATGTCGGGAACCACGAAGGCTAAGAAGCAAGAATGTTAAGGTAATGTCCCTTACTGCCCATGTACAACCCCGCAGATTCGGATACAGCTTTCACTTAAGCCTGGATCCCACGTATGGCCCTGCGAAAGTTTTGGCGAAAAGAATTATTGTCTCGGGAGCGAGAAAAGCTGGGGATTGAAAATTTCAGGAGGATGTTTTCTGCTTATGCAGAGGCCTGAAAAAACTCAAACTTAGCTCCCAGTTATGACGAGGTCTCACATACGACCAGGTGGAAGTTTTGAGGCGAAAATTACTCGGAAGCCGGGAAATTAGGAAGTTGAAATGCAGCATATTCGCAGAAATGTATGTTTCTTGCTTACATCAGAATACTCTTTTGCGAAATGCCAGGCAACAGTTTGTCAGTGGTTACTGCACTGTGAATACTAAGACCGCTTGGGCAGTCGATAAGAGGAGTGCGTATTAGTGGCGCTTTTTGGATACACTCATCATGTCAAGCGCAGCGTCCGATACACTCCTCGATTTTGATCTGTGCCCCACTGATCGACTATTCATATTGTGTAGGTGCTGTCTCGCCTAGTGCAAATCTGTCTTGCACGTCGCTTGCTAGCGTTATGAGCTTGACTCTCCTTCCACACCATTGGCTACCTTTCCGAATATTCCTTTAACAGTACGTGAGGACATCCCAGCAAGGTCTTTTTACACCGCCTGGCGCCAGATCGCAGTATTCCACTGAAGATATTCTGCAACCTACCAATCCATACTGTGTGTCATTGCAGGCTTTTTACATTCTGGTGAGCTGCAGGTGAATTTCAGGTGGTTTCGTGAAGGGCGTTTTCCAGTGTCGCTGTTCCATGGTATGGCTCTACTTATTGGCGATGGTGAGGGTGATATCTGCGACAAAAAGGGCTTTTCTTTTTGTCGGAAAACACCGGTTTGTTTTAATGCATAAGGGGTAAATTTGTATCTATTAAAATGAGTAAACATATGGCAACTGCAGCTAAACTTGCAAAAGTGTACAAATCAGGCTGGACTGGTCGAAAACTTTTATTAATCATCAGACTTATGCGAATTAATATTTGCTCGATATTGGATGCTGAGCTAATTATTGGACTCAAGCAGTATTATAGACGTCATCCGACTAGTAGATTTTAGCTAATGACAAAGCACAAAACCTGCACCTACAGTATATGTAAAAATTACTGATTTGCCTGGAATTATGATTTTTTGGTCCATTAAGGTTTGACAAAGAATAGGATTTGAAAGATGAAATGGGCAGATAAATTTTATTCTATTACACAATTTCTTCAGGTAATGCCACTTCGCGAGTACGTGCGGACAGTTCTGGTACTTTGTCAGTTATCGAATGTGCCTACCCAGCCACTGATTTGCTCATTTGAGCAGGTAATTTTGTGTATGTGTGTGTGTGTGTTTGCAGCGATTCAGGTCAGTTTGTGCATTTGGCCGCGTGTTGGAATACAGATAATTTCAATGTTTTTCATCAGCACGCTTGTGGCTGGTGCACATTTGATGGAAATTAGAATTGCAAGCTCTTTTACGCATATTTTTGAAAGATGTAACAACGGAAGAATTCTGGAGAAAGGATGCAAAAAGTGCATTTTTTTGTCTGTTGATCTCTCGTGGTCTGCAGTTGGAATACATGAAACAGTTGCAATTCGTAATTTGGTTCTCCAGCCATGCAGCTGATCAGCACTGCCA